GTTGATGTTTAAGTGTGGTAAAAGCTGCTAAGCATTAAAAAGCGCATACTTTGCTGCTGGCGAGGATATCTGAAGGAGGTTATTTAAACATTTCATAAAGGTTTCGTGGACGTTTAATATTAAGTCAGAAATAATGAATAAGTACCAAGACACAAAGAAGTGATTAATGCATATCGGTCGACAGCTACAATTCTCATGATTTTTCAAAATTTCATAAAATAAATTAAAACCTAAGGTTTTCTTAAACGGTTTGATCAATTTGTGAAATAAAATTATATGTAGCAAATATTGTGTATTAATAGCACAATATTAAAGCGATAAAACTACAAAACTAATTCAATGTTATAAGCCTGTAAATACTATTTCCGAATAAGATCTAGATATTGTTAAGTTTGTAACGTAGGTTTGTGATATAATATAGGAAGAACCGTGTGATGAAAAATAGATTATTTTTAGGATATCGGTTTATTGTTAATAAATATATATTCTCTGGAAAACTTTCTCTATTAACTCTCTTTTCTTCTAATCGATCAACTGTTTCATATATCATGAAAAAGATTTATTTGTAAAAATCTTAATTTAAACAAAAAATTTAAGTTAAATCTAGTGGAACTATTGCTCTAAACTAAAAAATAAACATAAACTGAACATCTACAAATCATACAAACAAGCTGAATTTCGCCGGGAATATTAATTTTGAGGCCCAAAAAATATGGAAAAAAGTTTAATTTCCTTACTTAAACCCCCGTCGGAGAGGGGTACAAACGCCAAAAATCGATTTAGTAAGAATTTGAATTTGCAGAACCTAATAAATGCTTTAGAAGACGGGGCGATGCATATAAAATAACAATGAAGTCACTAACGATGATTGCTCCGCACAAGTTAAACGAGGACCAGCTTCAAGAATTGGTGGAGCTTCTCTTTTCCACTAAGGAGGAACAAACCTTCTTGAAGATCGCCCCTGCGGTGGCGGAGGAATTTACAGAAGAAGAAATAAAGACCGCTGGTCAAGAAATCAAGACAGGGAAAGCTCCCGGCCCCGATAGACTGCTACTAGAGGCACTGAAGATAGCAATAACAGAGAAGCTAGGTTTCGTCAGAAAAATATATACCGATCTATTGCGGAAGCAAGAGTTTCCCAAGAAACTAAAGGAAGCAAATCTAATTTTTTTCCTAAAGCCTGGGAGACTTCCTGATTTAGCATCATCTTATAGGCCAATATGCCTTCTTGACTGCCTTGGTGAGGTCTATGAGAATCTTGTCAAGAAAAGGCTAGAAGGCATATTGGCAGATAAGAAAGCTCTATCCAACCAACAATATGGATTCAGAAAAAGAAATGGGTGGTACTTGTTTTATTGGACATCAAAAACGCCTTTCATTCAGCGAACTGGGGTCCCATCGTAGATAAGTTTGTCAATTTTGGGACCCCGAAATATGTGTCCAATATAATAAAGGGTTAACTATCGCAAAGGAGCGTATGCATATCGAAGAAAAATAAGATAAACATGATTGCTGAAATACCCTAAGGATCAGTCCTGGGACTCCCAGTCAGTCCCATACTATGAAATATTATAATCAAACTTTCAAAAGCAATTAAAAACAACCGCTGTCTTCATCGATCTATCTGCTGCTTATGACATTGTGTGGCGACAAGGGGCAATATATAAATTAATGCGAATAATCTAATGCAGAAAGACCACTGAGGTTATTAACGCCATGCTATCCAACAGATTCTTTCACGTTATATTGGGAAACAAGACTAATACCCAAAGAAAACTGAATAATGGACTTCCACAAGGATCCGTGCTGGCTCTCATGCTTTTTAGCCTCTACCTAGCCGACATGCCAGAAACCACATCAAAAAAGTTTGGATACGCAGACGACTGGACGCTTGCCGCAAGTCATAAAGAATTCGAGGTCACTGAACGCATTCTAACAAACGATTTAAATGCCCTAGGGAATTATTTTCGCAAATGGAGATTGCAACCCAATCCAATTAAGACAGAAGTGTCCTGCTTCCATTTGTACAACAAGATGGCCAACTATCAACCTCAAATCCATTTTAAGGATAGACTCCTTAAATATAATAAACACCCAAATACTTAGGTATTACACTTAACAGAATGCTGAACTTTAAAGAGCATCTTACTAAGACTGCTCCAAAACTCCGAATTCGTAACAACATCCTGCAAAAGCTCCGCGGCACTACATGGGGCTCCTCAGCACCCACACTTATATCGACAGCATTAGGACTGGTATACCCCGTAGCGGAATACTGTGCACCAGTATGGATAAACAGTCCACATACTCACCGTGTTGATGTCCAACTCAACCAAGCCATGCAAACTATATCGGGCACAATCAAGGCCACGCCCACTTACTGGTGTGATCGAGTGGATCGAGTGACAAATAAGCTTTGTTTCCCTTTACTATTCTTCTTTGGATTTCTGGTTCTTCTCTTCCATCCGTGTTTAATGCAACTCCTAAATATGTGAAATACCGTTTCAATATCGTCCTCTAATTTAACTGTGCGTGTTTTCCCTAGCTCTTGCCTTTGTTTATTTTTGTCTCTTGCCAACTCTTTTATCTTTTAAATATTTATTACTCCGGTCTCTGTTGCCTTTGTTTTAATTGTGAATTTATTTCTGCCGCGTCTTGTGTTTTGACATATTGCTGATATCATCGGCATAGGGGGCAATCTGTATTGATTTATTGATGATTTATTTGTTTCGAGATTACCTCTTCCTATATTCAGCTGTCTTATCACATATTCCAAGGTCAGGTTGAATAGTATCGGTGCCAGCCCATCTCCTTGCTTTTTTCCTTGAACTTATTGTAAAGGTTTCAGTGAGCTCATTTTGGACTGTGACAATTGCTATTACCGAATCCATTGTTGTTTTTACTAGTCGGATGTATTTTTGGGGGATATTAAAGCTCTGCAATATTTGATATAACTTGTTTCTATTAGTTGAGTCGTAGGCTTGTTTGAAATTTATGAATATGTTGTGACGTTAATCTCGTATTCCCACGATTTGTTTAAAATTATTTTCACTGCAAACAGTTGGCCAGTTGTAAATCTTCCTTGTCGGAAACCGGTTTGATATTCCCCGACAATATTTTCAGTTAGTTGTTGGAGTCGTTTGTTTAGTATGTAAGTAAAAATTTTGAAGATTCTCACCCCCCACAAAAAACACAAGAATTTGTACACCGTAGAAAAAATGTTTTAAATAAAAAGTGTAGCTATGATATTTTTAATCAAACATGTTTAATAGCACTTTTTGTGTAGAATTAACCGTTCTCTCATAAACAACACTTGAAGCGACTATAGATTATAAATGACAATTTATATCTTTGTGCTAATAAAAAAGTGTTAATAAACATTTTTGTTTAAAATTATCTCAGCTCCATTTTTATTTATTTTCAAGCATATTATTCCATAGATCGCTTAAAACTGTGGAGTGCAATGATGGAGTTAGGCGTACCAGAGAAGCTGACCATGATTGCGCGAATGTGTGTCAACAATTCCTTTGCACAAATTAGAATAGGAGGCAAAACTTCAAAGGCTTTCGGCATAAGCACCGGGCTCAGACAGGGAGACCCGCTGTCCCCATTACTATTTAACCTAGCATTGGAATACGCAATGCGAAAAATCTATACCAGAGTCAAACCAGACATAACTGCCAAAGGAGCAAAGATTATTCTCGTATTTGCAGATGATGTAGATGCAGTAGCACAGACCACACTGGAAGTTAAGGATATAGTATCGAACTTTGAAGAAGCAACACTAAGCGTAGGCCTGGAAATAAACGAAGAAAAAACTAAATACATGGTCGTATCAAAAAAGGAACGATAGCGAATAAGACATAACATTACCATAAACGATCATAATTTTGAGGTGGTCAAAGAATTTAAATACCTATGAGCAACAATTACTAGTGAAAACACAGGAGAACGGGAGGTTGAAATACGAATACTGGCGGTGACTAAATCGTTCTTTGCCATTCAACATCTAATAAGGTCAAAGCTTCTCTCAAGGCGTGCCAAAATCCAAATGTACAAAACCATAATACGACCGAAGTGAAACATGGACATTGAGAAAAAAAGAAATTAATAAGCTATTAGTATGGGAACGCAAAATCCTGCGAATTATATATGGTCCTTGCAGGGACAGCGTGACAAATGAATGGAGGAGCAGATACAACAATGAAATAGAGACTCTCTTCGGGAAAGGAAACATCGTAAGATACATAAAAGCCAATAGATTAAGATGGGTAGGCCACGTGGTACGGAGTGATAACGACAGACTGATTAGCAATGTGTTTTGGGAAAGACCAGATGGTTAAAGATCGACAGGAAGGCCTAGAAAAAGCTGGACAGACGCAGTCAGGGAAGACCTGGGGAAGATGGAAGTAAGGCCATGGGAAATAACAGCACAGGATCGGAATCAATGGAAGGCAATAGTAAACACGGCAAAAACTCACGAAGAGTTGTAAAAGCCAATGATGATGATGATTTTTATTTGACACATTTTTTTCTGCAACGTACACATTCTTGATTATTCGATTTGTTTGCGTTTTTACCCAACTACTAGGGGGTTTTAGGGGTAAGACCGGGGGTAAAACGTTTTTGCATCTTTTTGGAATCCCAAAATTAATATTCTCAGCAAAATTCATCTTTTTGTATGAATTTAAGGGTGTATGAATTTTAACTATCTGACGGGTGGACTATTAATCTACCCAATAATTTACAGACCTTTTTATTATCAGTTAGCTAAGGAAAACGAACATTTAGTTTATGATTATTAAAATCATAAGATGAGCAAAATAAGATTAAACTAGGTTCAATATATTTGAAGGAATCAAGTTTCGTTTTAAATATTACTAATAACAGACCAATCACTGATTTTCCATGTTATTCACCATGAGCATCAGCAAGAGCAGAAAAGATTATCATAGATCTCAGCTAATCAGTTTATGTTTTCATACAGATTAGCTAGGCACTTATCTTAAAAGTTTAAGAACGAATGTCGGTGCTAGTTCTAAAAATGTACAAATTAGAATTTACAAGGAAAACGATGCATACATTTTAATGCTAAACTCACTGTAGTAAGTATAGAAAATAATGGACTATGTCAAAGAAATAAAGGATGTGAGAAGTAAAATGGAAGTCCTCAATATTGACCATTTCCGAAAATTGTGCTAAGTTTTAAGAATTTAGAGAATTCTAAACAAAAAAATAAACACTCTATTAATTAAAAAAGTAGATTACATATTTTTGAAAAACCATTGGATTATAGAATTGTAGCTGACAATGTAACCGCTTATTATGAAATATATTTCTCCTTTCAATGACCCTCTTACCTGTTTGCGTGCTAGAATCAAAGAACGTACTAGAAGTTTCTACAGTCATAGAAGCTATGGTACCATCCATAATCTGTGTAGCCGAATCTCTGCGTCCACGATATCGCTGGCAGTCATCACTCTGAGAACTTTGGCGTCGAAAATTTCGGCATCGTATCATTTCCTCTGTCGTTGATTGTCTTCGGAATCCTCTTGCGATAAGGATTTCTTCCGTAGTAGATTGTCTTCTGATTGCTGGTCGGTAGTTTTCTTGTGTTGGTGGTGGTCCTCTATTACAAGGACTTGGATCTCTGCTGGAGCAGCTACAATGGTCAGACAACAGTAAGTTCCGAATTGAAAGTCATGATTATTGTTCACTTTGTTATTGCTATTGATGTAGTCAAGTTTGCACATTTTTATAGTGACTTAAAAAAGTATAGTCTCAAAACTAGTAAAATAGATCAGTATAAATATATTACTAAATAAATATTAAATTACCAAAAGTTTGCAAAATTTTAATTAATCCAAAATCGTGTTAGAAACAAAAATTTAATAAAATTATTTCTTATATGGATATATTATATACAAAAGATATATAGTTAATTACTATTTAACCGGGAATAAGCCACAATTAAAGATAAAAATACGTTTATTGATGTTTCAATTTGCACTTCGGAAATCCTTCTCAAAATACAAACCGATTTTGAGAACGATTTCCGAAGTGGAAATTGAAACGCCAATAAACGTATTTTTATCTTTAATTGTGGCTTATTCCCAGTTAAATAGTAATTAATTTAAAATGCCACAAAAAAATAGCTTCAGAACAATAGATATACAGTTATTAGCAAAATTATAAAATAAAATAATTTTTCTGCAGCCGTCCCGAAAATAAAATTTTGTTTTATTTATTAAATCGAAAGTACCATTTTACACAAATCTTACCGAAAGTAACTACTTTCGTGACTGACTTTTTCACTTTCGGGACGATTTTGGGTAGCTAGGTAACGGGTTTGACAACAACATCAACTTTGTATTTTATTTTTGAGTTAATGCCTCGACAACTAAGATCATTGGGTTGGTACAGTCAGGTACCCAGTGTAGTGGGTGTGTGTGTGTGTGTGTGTGTGTGTGGTGTGTGTGTGTGTGTGTGTGTGTGTGTGTGTGTGTGTGTGTGTGTGTGTGTGTGTGTGTGTGTGTGTGTGTGTGTGTGTGTGTGTGTGTGTGTGGAGTAATTGTCTTGATACTTAGCAAAGTCGACGTCATTGTCTTTGCTAAGAGACGCTAATTGTATCCGAACGTCTGCGGTCCCTCCTGTGAGGACCGATCGCACAAGGATAGAAATTATTTTCATTTATTAATACTTTGTATTTTATTATGACTAGGGATGGCGGTTTTGACAAAATACCGGTTTTCGTTTATACCGGCTTTTTTTTTGCTTACGGTTTAACCTGGCGGTTATAACCGGCCAAAAAAAATCGGTTTTCGGTTTTTTTAATGCAATAGGTTACAAAGCTACATTTACAATGCACTTTAGTTTGCGATACTTCATTTGACTCGATATCAATATAATCCAGATTAGTACCATCGAAAGAACATCAATATTAATATAAATAAAATACAATTTTTAATAAAACCATTTTATTTTATTAATTATTATTAATTTAATATTTTATTATTATTACATATTTATTGATTATTATTAAATATAATATAGCGTAAGATTAATATATACATATTGCAATAATATACAATATAAGTAGAATGAAGTAATATTTTAAGTAAACAAGTATAGGTTAAAAGGTTACAAATAGGTTGGTCGGTTTAGCCGCTTCTCTTTTCTAACACAATATCATTCAATGATGACATCAGTCTCTCTGATGCCAACGAACTTCCTACCAACGAAAAAACGAAAACTTAATTGTTCCTGGCTGATGTGAGTTTGCACTTTCAGTGTGCTTCTGTATTTATAAATTAAAATAAAATTTGAATTATGGTTTTGTTTGGAATAATTACTTAAGAGTAATAATTATGATTGACATCCAAAATAATCTTCTTCCTTGTCAACCATTTTCCATCCACTATCTGAATGTAGGTCTCTCCCAATTGCTTCCATCTTTCTCTACCTTGCGCCAATCTAATGCACTGTTTGCCTGTCACTGCTATTATGTCATCTACCCATCTTTTTTGAGGTCTTCCCATGCTTCTTGTTGTCGTCCTTGGTCTCCATTCTAGAATTCTCCGTGTCCACCTGTTGTCATTATATCGGGCTACGTGACCTGCCCAGCGCCATTTCATTTTTGTAATTTCTTCTACAACATCCCTAATCTTCGTTCTACATCTTATCTCGGTGTTTCTAATCTTGTCTCTTGATATTCCAAGCATGATTCGTTCCATTGCTCTTTGCGTTGTTTCTAATTTTTTGGCAGATTTTTTGGTAAGTACTACTGTCTCCAAGCCGTAGGTACAAACAGGTAGTATGTGTTATACACCTTTTTCTTTAAGTTTATAGGAATGGAGGTGTTTTTCAAGATATGTGCTAGTTTGTTGAAAGCGCCCCAAGCCAGTTGTGTTCTTCTTTTAATTTCAGTATCTTGATTATATCCAAAATTATCCATCCAAAATAATACCTAACCTAATCCTAATCACCGTAAAAACCTAATAACCGGTTTTTACTTTAAAAATAATAAGCGGGACAAAAAACAACCGATAAAACCGGTTATTGCGAGGTAAAAGAACCGGTTTTCGGTTAAAACCGGTACGTTTTTCCCATCCCTAATTATAACAACGCTTGTCATTTAAGATTCATGTGTTTCGCTCAGTTTTTCGTTTTTCAATTCCAATAAATTAAGATCAGCAGTGAAAGTAAAGCCGAAAAAATTCCAGATGAGGCTAGGGAAACTGCTAAAGCCGCTATTTATGAATTATTGCCGGTAAAGTCAAGAAAAGGGTATGAATTGGTCTACGATTTATTTCAAAAATGGAGCAATGATAAAAATGTACATACTATAAATAAAAAATTAATTCTTGCATATCCAATGGAAAAATCTAATATCTTTGCTTTGGAGTAATTACTCGATGCTCAAGTCCACACTTAATATTAAAAATAATATAGATATAAGCCTTTACCCAAAAGTTATTGCTTTCCTTAAAAAAAACTTCATCGGCTACAAACCAAAAAATCGAAAGTATTGAATAAAGAAGAAAGAGATATTTTTATCAGAAGCTGAAGATAAGATCTACTTAATGAGAAAGGTTATATAATTAAATCTATTTTTTTTTATTATTATTTTGTTTGTAAATTTTGAGGTTGCGTTAATAATTGATTTTGCAGGCGCTTGTCGTCAGGAGGAGCTTTGCAAAATGAGTTTAGATGATATAGAAGATAAGGTAACCACGTTGGTGAATGAAATTCTTAATTCTAAAACGAATATGGAAAGAACCCTTGTGGTTATTGGAGAAAATAACATCTCTTTACACAGAAAATATTTGTTAATACGTGAAGCAAACACACTGTATATAACAAAAATGTAAGGTGTATTATACAACCCATTGGTATTCACACTTTTGGAAAAATCGCCTGCACTATTGCCAAATTTCTTAAATTGCCGCATCCCAAAGAATGCACCGGGCACTGTCTACGATGGAGCTCAGCCACTTTACTCGCTGATAGTGGGGGTACTACAACCATCTAGAAAAGACACAGATGTAAATCAACTAATGTAGCAGAGGGATACGTAGAAAATTGTTTAAGAAATAAAATTCACATAGCTTCACAGATTGAAACCGGCCACAACCAAGTTAATATCTCAAAAAATCGTAAAAGTACTGACACGTCTAACACTAATTTCAATACTGCCACTTTTCTTAATCTTCCTAACAATATAAATGTAAATAATTGTTATATTTCTGTTATTTATATTCATAAGTATATTTTTCTAATGTTGAATTCATGAGAGTAACTTAAAAGTGTTTAATAAAAGTATAAGTAAAGTTTATCCATATATTCTTTTTAACATACAAAACGGCTGCTGAACAAATATTGTCCGTAACACGATCCAAAATTAATTTTACGAAACTCACAGGATTCCTGGACTCACCTACGGCTCGCCCTGGAAACTTTCTTCTTGTCTCATAAAATATCACTATCGGAACTTGTTACGTATATTATAATTTTGAGAATAGGAAATTATGGACAGAAGAAAATCAGGAAATAGGTTGATTTTTATTTGTAAATTATTATTTTTTTACGTATATCATACCAGTGACATTATCCGTTTGGGCTTTTGGCATTTGGGCATTTGGGTAAATTTTACACAACTACAAAAAACTATTTAGTTTTATGAAAAACCATTTTATACTTCACTTACATTCTTCTGCATCCATTGCGCAATCTCCCAGGGACCTGTCAGTCTTAGCTCATTGCCCATCCTGCCATTTCTAGGAAGGTGCATAAGTTACCAGGTGGACATCTCCCTTATGTAGGCAGGTGTTTGCCAGGACTCGTTAAAGATAACTCAGGGCATTTACATAGGATATGCACTACATTTTCGTCTTCTCGTTCACACTTCATGCATAGAGGTGTGTCTACTAGCCCCAGTGTGTGGAGGTGTTTCTTCTTCTTATGGTGCCCTATCCAATTAGTGGATGTTGGCGATAATTTTGGCATACTCCTCTCGATTTTGTGTGGCTCTAAAGAGTGCATGGGCATCGAGGTGTGTCCAATCCCTTATGTTTTTAAGCCATAAGTATTTCTTTCTTCCGATGCCTCGTTTTCCTTCTATCTTCCCTTCCATAATAAGCTTTAAGAACTGGTACTTGGAATTTCGAAATATATGACCCAGATGAGCAGTTTTTCTTCTTTTTATTATTCGCAGCAATTCTCGTTCTCTGCCCATTCGATTTAATACTTCGACATTTGATATGTGATCTGTCCAGGGAATTTTAAGTAGTCTTCTAAATACCCACATTTCAAAGGCATCCAATCGGTTCATCACATTGGCCTTAATGGTCCAGGTTTCTATACATAATAAATCAAAAACAAATCATATCTTCACAGTCAGGCAGATTTTTAAGAAAACGCTTGAGTTTGGAGTCGACACCCAGTACATATTCGAGGATTTCAAAGCCGCATACGACTCAGTCAACAGACAAAAACTTCTTCAGGCTATGGTGGAATTTCATATGCCGCTTCATCTTGTTCAACTAATGGAACTTACACTCACACGCGTAAAAAAGAAGTCAGAATCCAAAACGAGTTTTTAAGACCCCTTCATTGTAAAAATGGACTGAGACAGGGAGATGGACTGTCGTGTCTCTTATTTAACCTTGCACTAGAAAAAGTAATTCGAGGGTGCCATACTAATACGAATAGCACCATCTTTAATAAATCTATACAAGTGGTCGGATATGCAGATGACATAGACATTATTGCCAGGTCCACAGAATCTCTGATCGAAGCATTTCAATCATTAAGAGCGTCTGCACTGAAAATGGGATTAAAAATAAACGCACAGAAAACCAAGTATATGTATTGTACAAGATTAGGCAACCAGATACTTAGACTATTAATTGATGATCTGGATCTGGAAGGTGTGGACACTTCGTCTGCCTGGGCTGGCTGCTGACCAAAGACAACAATGTCAGCGAAGAAATTAAAAGAAGAATAGTGCTTGCCAATAAGTGCTATTATGGCTTGAGGAAACATATGGCCCCAAAACTACCCAAAAAAGGATGTGTTTAAATGGACATGGTAAAACTACCACAATGCATGTGTTTAAAAAGGTGTCACTACCATTTTTAAAGAGTTCGGCATGAAGATTGTCCAAACCAGGGGCTTTGTTGTTTGGGGTACAAACACCCTAAAAAACAAAGAGTAAAAAAATTACACCACAAATTAAGACCTGAGCTTTGAAATTAGACGTCAAATTAAACAAGAAACACAATTCAAAAACTCAAGCCTTTATTATCCAATTACTTAAAAATCCGTGAAAAGTTTACAAGATGCTACGTATGGTCGTTACTTTTGTATGCATGTGAAACTTTGATTTAAATTGTGGATATACTTAATAAAATCAAGGCATTTAAAATGAAGTTGTATTGTCGAAGATTACTCAAGGTATCGTGGACCAGGAAACCCAGAAACGAAAAAGTCCTTTGAAGAATAGGAATCATTACACACGAACCCTATTAAATATCATTACGAGACTTAAACTAGAATGTCTTAAATATACAATCAGTAGACCCAGATAGGAGTTCTTTGGCTAATTCTACAGAATGGATATGGCAAAAACGTCTTCATGTTAAGTAATATGTGACAGTAGAAGGTTTACCAGCATACCAACTGGTACATGTAATCCAAGACCGAGATAAATATTGGAATACACCCTAAGAAGAAGATAAACTATAGGCATCAAATTAAAAAAATTAAGTTACCCACAATATTTATATAATTAATAAAATTTTATAGATTTGTATGAAGTACTGGGCGCTTCTAGGTATCTAGTCCAAGTTTAATAAATTTGGTAATAGATTTTGTAAATATTTAGAATACTGTCGTTTAGATTATTTCATTCATACAAAAAAATGTCGAAATTTTAAAAAGTTTTTACATATATTTGACTCCTTTAGCAATAACAAAGTGAACAATGGTGAAATATATTTAATCTCCACACACCTGGAAGAATCCGGAGACCGCGGTCCATGGGCTCTTGCAGCTACACTTGTTGATTGTCTTCTTAAAGTCCTTCGGCCTCTTCTGACAGGGCTAATATCTCGGTCTCCAGATCGATCAGGACTAAGATGCGATCTGGAATCTCGTCTACCTCCTCTAGAAGCAGAATCTGGACTTAACGAGTCCCTTCTTGCCTTTCTTCCACTTTCATCAACATCAGGACTTAAAGCTGGCTGTTGTGGTTGGGAGCCACGACGATTCCAGCCTCCAGGAGGAAGACAGCTCTCGTCATACGCTGTATTTTGTCGCTGCAGTCGAGAATGTTTCCGTTCAGGACTTGCGTGAGATCTAGAATCTCTTCGACCTATAAAAATTAGCAAATTTTAATTATCTAACAATAAACCACTAAAAACGTTTGTTTATAACACTTCCAAAAAAAAAACTTAACTTGTAACAAAATTTATTATATTTTATTATCACCACAGCTGATCAAGTGAAATTTGAGTTACAGAAAATTGTAAGAATTAAATTTAAAATATTTTTGTTAATTTTACCATCGTATACTTTTCTAAATTTATTTTACCAACCAGTTGTTTTGGTTTTTTAGTTAAAACTTTTTATCTTTATGGTAGGTAGTATACAGTGAGTCTCTTTTTTCAAATTATAATCTAATATACGGAGTGAACCACCTGCGTATGATATCGTCATCACCATTTTGTTTTAAACGGAACCTCATTTTCAATTTATAGATTACTTTTACTGACCTATGCAGACGATATTGCTGTCCTTCAAAGTGGTGAATTTAAGAACATACTATGTGAGAGATTACAAGTTGCTGTCCGACTAATAGAAATATGGTGCAAGAAACACTCACTATCTATAAATCCCAAGAAAACAGAGATGGTCCTTTTTACCAGGAAAAAAACAGTCACGGGCTTAATACCCCCAAGGATTTTAGACTACAAACTAAATTTTTCTGACTAGGTGAAGTACCTTGGTATTATCCTTGATAGGAAGTTAACATGGAACTCACATTTAGATGGTAGAGCTAAAAGAGCATATATGGGCTATGAGCAGTGTCGACGAACAGTTGGATGCACCTAGGGCCTTTGGCTCAGGGTGATCGCCTGGGTCTACACATCTGTCATTAAGCCAATGCTAACTTACGGAGATATTGCTTGGGTACCAAAAGTGCTACAGGCAGCAGCGATAAATAAACTAAACCGTATTCAGCGGATGGCTTGCATAAATATAACAGCTGGTGCAAACCTTGATGTAGAAATGAGACAATTGAGAACTTCTGGCGGGGAGAGCTGGATGCGCTACTACTGCTACGGGCAAGCTGCGACTCAATTGAACCAAAGTTTGTCTTCAACAAACCCTACAACATCGAAACAAGAGAGTATAGGAAGACAAACGTGGCAAATGCCTATTGCATATACACCGATGGCTCCAAAATGAAAGAAGGCACAGGATGCGAAATATACCTCAGATCACTAAACCTAAGAATAAAGTGGGGTTTGGGAAAAATGCCAGCGTAGTTCAAACATAAATGACTGGTACCTCCATAGCCGCAAAAGAGATAAACCAAAAAGGTATAGCAGGGAAAACTATAATGATATGCACAGATAGCATACAAGCGCTACTAACCTTTAATAGACCACGTGTCATAACAGGATTTGTGTCACGAGTCACTAGCTCAGGCTTCGGATGGTAATACCATCATCCTGAGGTGGGTTAAAGGACGCAATAGGAATAAAGGCAACCGCATTGCTAACCAATTGGCTAGGAAGTCGGCAGCCCTAAGACTCTTAGGACCTGGAGATATTTTTGGTTGGCCAACTACAACAATCGCGGAAATTGTCAAATGTCACTCCCATTCCCAAACTGTAAAAAGATGGGAAGAAGGTCAAGGATGTAAACTTGCCAAGGTAACACTAAGTAACCTTGAAGAGTCAGCATCAAAGAAGTACTTGGAAATGACCAGAAAAAACCTACGCTTGACAGTTGGTTTTTTAACTGGCCATTGTCAACTAAGCAAACACCTCCACACACTGGGGCTAGCGGACACACCTCTATGCAGAAAGTGTGAACGAGAAGACGAAACTGTAGAGCATGTCCTATGTGAATTTCCTGAGTGGCAGCCACACCTGCCCATATCAGAGAGATGTCTCCTGGTAACTTGTCCACCTTCCTAGAAATGGCAGGATGGACAATGAGCTAAGGGCGACAGGTCCCTGGGAGGATACAGAATAGGTCAATTGTGGCCTAAGTACTGTGAAACTTAACTCGCCCTTCCTACTCTACAGATACAGAACCAACTCATCAGCGGCTTGGGATTTTATTTGTCCTTCATATTAAAAAGTTTACTGTTCATATAGATAGTTTTTATAGTTTTGTTTTTTATTAAAAAAAACATTTTTTTTTTAAGTCAATGGTTCCAGAGCTTTTTTATGTTTTACTTTAAAACTTTCTCTATTAATTTTCTTTTATAATTGTAAGCTTACTTTTACTTTTACATGAACTGTTGATGTGTGTGTAATAGCAAGATCCTTTTGTTTTCTTCTCCACTTTTATGCCTCATGACTCTACCACAAGTATCCTTGTGAACTTAATTTTGTAGTATATAACATACCTATATTGTAACAAACCGTACCCTCTACAATTGTGACACCTATCGAGTGTACCTACATGTACGATGATCAAATATCGTCAAACCGTCACCACGCAGAAAGATAGAAGTGTTGTGAATGTGTTTATTTTAACGGTAATATGGTTTTACGCTAATATACACACAGATTAATATAAACAGTATCAAATAGTCACTTTTAAAAAGTTGTCGTTTAACTATTAATGAATGTATATATATATATATATATATATATATATATATATATATATATATATATAAGTAAACTTTAAATATTGGGTATGCAGCAATAAAAATGACACGTGTACTCTTTTAAATTTTTAATCCAAGCTTTCGGACATTGTTTATGTCCTTCATCAGGGAGCTACAAATGTGATGAATATTTTTTTTTTATTTTTATAATTAATTAAAAATTCAATACTTACAAATTTAATGAGGTTGTATCATCAATGATTTTATAAAATGTTGATATAATTTATCACAGTCTGTCATATCTGTTGAGTCTAAAACCTATTCCTATATTTAAAATTTTAAAAATTATTTTACATTCACAAACACTTAATTATCATACATAAATTTATGACATTGATATTATTAATTTTATTGTATCGTCATTAGTTTTTGTCACGACAATCCAGTGGTTTTTATTATTGGCTTTTTCGGAAGTCTTCGTGCGCAAATTTAAAAACATTCGTCTTGACAAGTGAAAATCCCACATCACTAATATCAAGCAACTGCTAGTACAACAAATTATAGGCATATCAAACTAAATTAAAAAAAAAAAAATAAATGCCTCAAAAAAAACTTTTTAATTACTTAAATGTTAATTGATAAATTATTGTTTGTCTTATTGTTGCATTTATCTAGTAGTAACAAATAGGAGAACATTTCATTTAGATGGGCAATATCTGTTCTATGATTCATTGCATTATTATTTTGGCAAATAGGCCATTTCAAGAAAAAGTCTTTTGGTGATGTTACTTTCCTGTTCTACTACTTTGATGTTATTGTAGTCTTTCCGATGCCCATTTTTAAATGCATGTTCACCCAATGCACTTCTTTCAGGATGTAGTCTATTATCAGACTTGTGAGATGTAATGCGGTTGTTAAGGCATCTTGATGTTTGATCATAGTATACTTGTTTACATGATCCGCACGGTATACAATAAACAACATCCGTTAAGGACAAGAGTGCGGATTGGTCTTTAAGTTTAGAAAAAACTTTGTTAACTGTTAGTACCGTTTTATACGCAATTTTGATATTATTAATTGATGAAAAAATTCCACTTAGTTTATGCCCAATGTCCTTAATGTATGGAAGAGATACATATCTAATTGTGGATTGTTTTTGTAAAGGATCTACAGGTCCAATCCTATCTTGTGATAAAGACATATTTTCCTCGTTTCTTACATGACTATTTAAATTTTGTGGAGTGTTAAATAAAATTTTCTTTAGTAGTATACTTGGGTGTGAGTTTTCAATGAACAGGTTATAAAGGATTTTTAGATTTTTTGTATGGAAAGAGGTATCACTGATTTTAAGGACACGATTTTTCATTTATTTAACTAAATTAAGTTTCATTTAATATTTATGATATGACCAATAATTAAGATATCGACCTGAACTGAGAGGTTTTCTGTATCAATCAACCAGCAAGTGGGTACCTTTCCGTATTAACTTCGTATCTAAAAAAGGTACTGAACCTGTAGTATCTTCACATTCTAATGTAAATTGAATGTAGGGGTTGTAACTATTGAAAGACCAAAGTATATCATTTATTCCTGTGCTTGGTAATGCTAATATTATTTCATCAACATATTTTTTTATAAAACGAAATTTAAAAGGTAGGACAAGGATGACGACTGGTGTCATACAAAACAAAATCACAATCAATTGTAACGTTTTTAGAATTATGACCTTATTTAGTTATGTTAAGTTAATAGGCTTTGTTTTGAAACATTGACAGGTTGAAGTTTCACTTCCTAATGATATTAAAAAAATATAAAATAATTTATATTTCCACGATATACCTAATGATAGGCCTGATTTCCGTCTGTTTGCCTTGCAATTCTTAGAAGGCTCAGATTATAAAGCAGAAATCTGAATTGTGTTTCGAAACTATTTTACGATTGTTTAATTAGATGTCACTACTGCGTCCGTATTGAAGCCATGTTATTGTTGCTTCCTAAAAGGCAGAAAATATTGATTTTTCACGTTGAGGACCCCTATGAATAGATCTTCTGACGAGACCTATTAGGTCGAAATACGTATCAAGAGATACATAGGATTTGTTTGCGTGAAATCAAATATTTGCTGCCTTTTCTCATTTTATTCGGATATACTCTGTGGGAGTACGAGAAACACAATTCGCTAAGGATTTCTGCTTAGTTGTAAAAGACATGTCGTGGAATGCAAATTTTAGATTCCCCATGACTCTTTTAACATCTTTTATCAACGTCTGTTTGCCTTGCAATTCTTAGAAGGCTCAGATTATAAAGCAGAAATCTGAATTGTGTTTGGAAACTATTTTACGATTGTTTAATTTTTAAAATTTTAAATACAGGAATAGGTTTTAGACTCAACAGATATGACAGACTGTGATAAATTTTATCAGCATTTTATAAAATCATTGATGATACAACCTCATTAAGTTTGTAAGTATCGAATTTTTAATTAATTATAAAAATTAAAAAAAAATTATTCATCACATTTGCAGCTCCCTAATGAAGGACATAACCAATGTCCGAAAGCTGGGATTAAAAATTTAAAAGTGTACACGTTTCATTTTTATTGCTACATACCCAATATTTAAAGTTTACTTCCTTACGTTATCAGCAAATGCTTCTGGTTCATTGTATATATATATTATATATATATATATATATATATATATATATATATACCTTACGTTAAGTTTGAAATTAGATATACACATTATAAATGGCAACACTGGACTTTCCACGAACCATCGTTGCCCCATCACCAATAATTTGTCATTATACAGTGGTTGTTTAAAGCAATAACAGCATAAATTTTTAATTTATTTTTTGTAAACAACATGTTTATTAATACGCCCGCAGAAAAGGTTTAAAAAATGGTTTTATGGTGGTAATTCTGGGCAACAGTGTGTAGATTTGTTTTCTGTGTTTTGGGGGAAGACCAATTATTAATTGCATACAGGCAGTTTATAATATTGTAAAAAATTTTGAGAGTTATTATTGCCCCAAAAATTGCAAAAAATATCTCGCTCAAGAAGCGTTACCAGAAAAAATTAAGGAAGGAGAATACCGGGATACACAACTTTGTACAACAGTCGAGGTAGATTTAATACGTTCAAGTAGAAGCGTTGCTAAGGAGTTAGATGTTATCAATGCTACTGTATCGAAAGTGTGTAAAAAGCATGGTTACAAGAATTTAGTAACGAAGGCTAATAATGAACCCAATTTTATTAAAAATATTTTATTTGCTGATGAATCTTTTGTTTTGCTAGTAGGGAGACACATTGCTTCTATTTTGAGGTGTTGAGCGTGGGAAAACTAGCACAGAAGTGTTGTTTACCGAACTCAATGTCCTCAAAAAATTAACGTCTTGACTGGTATTTTAGGAGATCAAATAATGAGTCCATTTTTTATTAAGGGCAACTTGAATAGTACAGTATAACTCGTTACAGAATCATGTTGTCCCCGCTATTCTCAATCCTTCTGATGTAAATCTATAGAATGTTTGGTCCCATCAAGACGGCTGTTCAGTTCATAACGCTCAAATAATTAGGCAATACTTAACAATACTTTCCCGAATCGAGTTATCTGTGAAACATCTATGGACTTCTTTTTTGGAGACATTTAAAAAGCATCATCTACGATTATCCTGAGGCTAGAGCCCAAAATTTACATAATTTAAGAAACTGAATAAGAGAAGTCTTTCATTCTATTAAAGCAGAAACTCCTACATCTGTCTCCAGAAGTTTTTATGACAGATTATGATACTGTTCAGGCGAAGAAAATCAAATATTTAAATCATTTTTGTAGAACACTAAGAATTATTTATAAGGAATTATGTTTTTATTTTTAATAAGAGTGTATTTTTTGTTTTATCGTTTTAAAGAAATGTGCTTTTATTTTTAATTTAAACACAAAAAATTGTTCGTATTATTAAAAACCGATACAAATGCACCGCATTATAATGGTCAGTATATTTTTATCGAGTTTCTGTTATAAGAAAAGAACCGAGTGTACGTAAGCAAAATAAAAATCGATGAGCTGGGTTGCATATACCTTGCGTTGTTATGTGTTACTAAATGATTTTCTCGTTTTTTGTCTAAGAGTCTGGGTGTCGGCGCGGAGAGGATTGAAAAGTTACAATTACCTCGTGCTAGACAGTATTGTCGATTTTAGTGCTTTATGTATGTGCAGTATCTAATCCAAAACTTAACGCATTGTATATATATATATATATATATATATATATATAATATATATATATTAGTGGATTTTTTTCGGCTTTTTTACAATTTTTTACATGCTTGTCAATATTACTTCTTGAAAAAGGCATGGATTTCCTGCCGAAACGTCGAAAAAATATATGAAAATGTCCTAGTAACAAATCAATTTTTTTTATGAACCTAAGCCCAAGAAAATCCACTAAACAAATATATATTAAGGTTTATAAACTAAACTCAAACTATATATATATATATATATATATAATATATATATATATATATATATATATATATATATATATATTCAATTAGATAAAATACAATATAAAAACGGACCTAATCGCCCGCACTGAGTTGTAGAATCCCTTCTTGTCGATAACAGTGGATGAGGTGGAGTAGTCGCAGAAGTTGTAGGAACTGTAGGGGAAGTTGCTGGAGGTGTTACACTGGAAGTTATAATAGTTGGAGGCATTGGAAGACCACCTTGTGTACCCATGTCAGAAGTAGTAATGGTGTTAGTTATACTTGGAAATCCCAAAAATTGCTGAGGTGCCGAATCTGATGCTGTGGAAGAAGTTGATGGTCTTTGCTCTTGCCTACAAAATAAAAAAATATTAGTTTTCGAATACAATCATTCATAATATAAATCGATTTATATTAATTTTAAGATTTATGCATTATGACCCTATGTTAATTTTGTTGTTTTACCACGTTGACAAAGATTGGTTGTGTCATCTTGTAATCTCTTGATTACAATATTACTTTCTTGATATTTGTCATATTACTGTCTTGTGGATGTTACAATACTGTTTTAGCGTATTGTTTTAACACCAAGAACTGTTTTAAACAACAGATTAGAAAATACCGGGTAGAATGACAAATAAAATATTAGACAAACTACAGATGGAAATGAAACGGAATTATCATTCCTTACGACCTTACGATAATCGGCTTTTTATCTTAAAGGAAAAACAGGGCCCTTTATTTATTTTAATTTTTCTTCGTTAATATAGCGAATAAGTAAGCTAAAAAAACAACTATTAATAGAAAAAACAAGGATAATCTTATATTTACATATTGACAAGTTTTAAAAATTCTCAAAACACATTGCATAACAAGAACGTAATAACAGATCAACTAAATTATTTCGTATCGTTTTTTCTGAACCATTATATAACTAGTTTTTAATGTAGTCGTCAAACCACGTCCAATAATTATTATTAATTAAGAATTCAATGCAATTATTTCCTTCAATGCCTAGTCTTTCGCAAGCGGATAATATGCCAGTGCAAACATAAACTTTAGCTTTTTAGCAATTATATTGCCAGGCATTTGTATTATGTGTCTATCTGGTTCATTAAAGAGTTAGCGCCACTGCCCTTGGTCATTTAAAGCTAAAAATATTTTGCGTGGTACCTTTCGCTCGAATATTTCCGGAAGTCCTTCATGCTTCCGCGTTAAACTTCATGTTTCCGCTCCGTATGTGCAGAGCGGCCTTAGCAGTATTTTGTTTATAACAATTTTAGTTGTTCCTTTGGATTTTTCGTTAGTGAAATTATTTTTGGAGTCCATAATATGCCCTATTTTTAATCCCGAGCTTTTCTAACCTTCTACAATTAACATGCTTATTGGAGCGGATTTGTTTTGGCAACTTTAAGACCTTTGGATTTTTCTTTTTCTTTGGATTTTTCGTGAGTGGAATTGTTTTTGTAGTCCATAGTAATTAAGAGTCTTTTAATTTCTTTGCTTGTTTTGTTGGTAGTGGTCACTAGTAAACTAAGGTATGTTAAGCTGTCAACATGTTTAAAGATATGATTTCAAATGCTATTTCTCATTCCTTATTGCTATATAATGCTTAGTAACTAACATGTACTTATTTTTGTCTTTGTTGATGAGCAGATTGACCCATTTCGCCACCGTTTTCAATAATTCTAGGAAAGATTTCTCAACATCTCGCTTGCTACGCACTATTATGTCAATGACATCTCCTTGTCTGAGTCCATCCTTTATCCCAAAGGATCGAGAATTTTCTTCCTGTATCCTAACGCTGGCTTTTAAGTTAGACATTGTCATTCTTAGTAATCGAATAAGTTTTTCTGGTATACTTATGCTATGGTATACTTATGGTATATTAATGCTTATTGGAAAGGATTTGATTTGGCAACTTTTAGGTAGCAATTAAATATGTTTGAAAAAAATAAGCCCTACCTAGAAGAAACTAAACTAGGATGGATTATTTCTGGAACTCTTGAAGGTGCTAATCCCAATACAGCTTTATGCAGTATTAGCACCAATCATGAATTATCTCAAGCACTTGCTAAGTTTTAGAAGCTTGAAGAACTAGAGAATTCAAAGGTGCTTTCACGCGATAAGATTCACACATATTTAATACAACTACTACGAGAAATTGTAAAGAACGGTTTATTAAAAATTTACCATTAAAGCAAAAACGAGGAAACTTTTAAGAAACTTCTTGAATTTATGCAGAGCAACAATTCTATGCTCCTGAAAAACGTTTGGTCAAAATCCTATTATTTCGATTAATATATATTGAATTAATGAGAGAATACAATAAACTGAAGCACATGTCTTCTATATTGGATTAAAATGATGAAAAATATAAATATTACATACCTCATCAAGGACTAACAATAAAATCTTCGATTACCACGAAACTACGTGTTATTTTTGATTCATCTGCTTCTAGTAGCAAGGAATATCTTTAAAAAATATTCAATTAATAGGATACGTGATCTTTCATGATATATTTTTTATAAGTTTAATATTGCCAAAGGAAATATATATCGACTTAGGAAAATCTAGCAGATAGAGTTACAAGAGGCATATTTCCCAATCTAATATTAAATTCTGAAACATGGTGGATGTTTCATCCTGGCCAATTTTAGATTCAGAATTTTGGCTTATTGAACAATTAGTAGACAAATTAACGGAATTAAAAACTCAAACTCAATTAGTTCTAAATGTACAAGACGTTTTAAGCTTTCCGTTTGATCGATTTTCTAACTTCTCTAAAATGTGTACAGTCACCAGTTACAAGTTTAGATTATGCTAAAAGGAATATTCGCAAAACCGGTGATTTAAGATTATCAGAATTAGAGTATTTTCTAATTTCTTAAATTAATTATTCAATTCATCTTTTTAATTACTTAAAGCAATTCAAAAATCAATCATTCTATAATGAAATAATTAGAGATATATCTAATAATAAGTATCTTTCATCGAAAAATAGGTTATGTGACCTAACACTATTTCTAGACCGTCAGAATATTTTTCGCATCGTTGGTAGTCTTAAGGATTCTACAATTTTAATAAAAACATCTCATTCTAATTAACGCCCCATTTTATAAAATTATTATTGTAAAAACATTATCTTATATTACTACATGGTGCATAATTACTTCTTAGTAATCTAAGAGATATTTACTGCTCAACATCTGGTCGCAATTTACTACGTGCTACTGCTAGCACGTGGTACTGCTAGAAAATACATAGATAAGATGTTTTAGATTTAATGCAAAATTTATTCAGCCTAAAAGGAAAAATCTTTCTAGTGCTAAAGTAATGCCTTCTGATTCATTTACAATAACGGGTTTTAATTATGTAGGTCAAGTATTTTATTTAAAGTGTTTTAACAAGCTTTAGAAAGATTTGTGTCCCGTAGTAGACAATGGAAGCAATTTATGGGTGCTAAACGAGAATTGGCATCTCTACTACATTCACATACAATAAAGAACAAGCTGTCTGTATTAACCATGGACGTATAAACACATATGGACTCAGTTATTTACATAAAATTGTGAAGTCAAAATTATTTGAATAAGTCACATTCTGAACACCTTCAACTGTTGTCACGTTTTGTTTTAAAATTTCTTATTCGCGAGTCGCTGAAAATATTACTCCACATTTTATACTCTACAGGTGCTATCAAACCAAAATAATAATTTATTGGTTATATTAATATATTTAATTGTAATCAAAATATCATGTATGCACATAGTGTGCATTATCATTTTTAATGATAGCGTATAATAATCAATTATTTTATATGTAGAAGCACTGAAAACTATTTATAAATGGCAACGGTTGTTTACATTTCTCTGTCTTATGGATCTACGTCAAACTTCAAATGCTGTTCCATGTTTGTTTACTTTTAACAGTAAATGAGGAAAAAGTTATTTTTCGATATTTTGGCTGTATTTTGAGTGATATTTGTGAAAAGTGAAATAAAATAAACGAAATATTTACATCCCGATCGCTCATTTCATTTGTAAGTACATACAATTTACATTATTTAAGATGAGGAAATGAGGAAGCGTGTTTGTTTACATTTTAATAGGCGTACCATTGGGTTTATTCATGTTCATTAATGTATTGAATAAGATATGATAGACATTTATAAATTGTAAGTAGACATCATCTGAATAAAAAAGATCTATTTAGTACCTTTTTAATTTAATATTTCTCATGGATACAAATAAATTAGTGAAATGAGTAAAACTTATTTATTTTTCTATGTAGGTTTCCAAATAATATTGACGATCGAACTATTTGGGTAGCAAATTAAGGAGAAAACATAAAGATTTTTTATTGTAGCATTATTTTGATACTATTAAAAAATTAACTTGAATTCAACTATATTTCATTGTATTAATTTTAAAGCAAATAAAATTGTATTTTAATTTTTCTATAAAGACGTGATTTGTTAATAGTTAAACTCTCGATTTTTTTTAATTCTTTGTGTTGTAACGTGTTTTTATACATTATTACTACTTTCAATTTTTAAAATCTGAATAATTACCAGCGAGCGAGTAAAAATTCAAGCACGCTTATGCTCTTGCGGAAGCATCACATTCTATCGAAGCTTCAAAACATTGTGTGTTAAAGGTATCTTATTGCTGTGTCCATCTATGTTTATACGTCCATGGTATTAACTCTTTAACAAATAACAATTTAATGGCAATTTATACCCCCTATTCACTTTATTTTGATGCACTTTGATAAACAAATAACAATTTAATGGCAATTTATACCCCCTATTCACTTTATTTTGATGCACTTTGATAAGCCGGAGTAAAATCGTCAAAACTACGTTAAGGAAGAGTTTTATCAAAAATTGCTCTTATTTAGGAAGAATTGCAAACTTTAATTATTCAAATAGAGGCAATTTTAAGCTCACACCCTCGTTTTTCTATAAGTCTAGATCCTAACGACCTCAGTCCTTTAACACCTGCTTACTTCTTTGTTGTTAAACCAACGATAGCAGTTAAAGACAGATCTAAGTGGAAAACGGCCAATAGACTAAACTGATACCAGCTCATCTAGCAGATGTGGCGAAGTTTTTGAGCAAGATGGAAAACCAAATACATCTCCCAATTACAAGTCAAGGGACGCTTAAAGACAAATCAAGTACCTGTCACAGAAGGAGCCTTGGTACTTATAAAAGACGACAACACCAATCTAACCCATTGGCAACTAGCCCGAATAATCAGTGTATATCCTAGAAAAGACAATATCATTCGAGTAGCTTTAATTAAGACTGCCACTGGCATGATTAAACTTGGATTCACTCACACTTCCACTACCTGTAGATCAGTGGTTCTTAACCTTTTTGTGGCGACGGAACACTTTTAATTACCGAAAAAAATTGCGGAACACCGGGTGGTCCTTAAGTAATTGTACAAAAAGAAACCGCAGATTCTACGCTTTAAAATAATACGATTAAAGTCAACTTGCTTTAATAAAAAGTTGATATTAAAAAAGATACAGGGTGTTAAAGTGGAAATTTAAAATTTTATTTTTCGCTATAACTTTCATGTTTGTAAACATTTATGTATAAAAATTTACAACTGGGTACTATTTAATATTAGGAATTATAATTTGAGGCATACTTTGATATAGCCGATAGAGGGCGCCACATATACCACATACGTGGCATACATTTGCACTTAACTTTTTTGTTCTTCAAGCTGGCGGTATTTTTGATAAAAAATATTAAAGATACATTATTTTAACAAAGAAAAGGTATACTTGTTAATAACTTCAAAACTCAACAGTTTTCGAGATAATCGCATTTTACAAATCAACTGCATAATTCTGATTTAACGCAATTACTCCAGGCAATGAAAGAAAAATAGATAAAAACATCAATACTTCTAAATTTTGTTATAAAATTCCTTTAATAAAGTTAATAGTTAATATAGAAATATTAAATAAAATAAATATATCAGCAGGATAATTAATAATAGAATTCGATAAAATAACAGAATAATTGGATTTTACATCAAACATTTTACGTTTTGTATTAAATTAAAGTCATAATCAAAACATTTTATTTACAAACCAAATTAAGAAATTGTTAAACTAAATAACATTAAATTTTTTGTCAAAGTAAGTGTTCGATATGTCCACCATTTTCTTTAAATCATTTGTTGATACATTCTATAAAATATTGTCTTATATTAAATAGCATAATTAATTAAAAAATTCAAAACAAATTCTAAAGAATAGAATAAAATAATAATAATAGAATAATAATAATAATAGAATAAAATAAAGTCATATTCTTGTGGTGAGATATTATTATAATTATTTAGTTCATAAAAATTTCAAAAAATTACTTATTATTATACGTATAACACTTATAATAAATACTGCAGCAGTTTCTTTAGAACCAATGATGCTATTTAATATGAGACGATATTTTATGGAATGTATTGACAAATGAATTAAAGAAAATGGTGGACATATTGAACACTTACTTTGACAAAAAGTTCAACGTTATTTAGTTTAACTATTTCTTAATTTGGTTTGTAAATAAAATGTTTTGATTATGCCTTTAATTTAATACAAAACGTAAAATGTTTGATGTAAAATCCAATTATTCTGTTATTTATCAAATCCTGTCATTTTATCCTGCTGATATATTTATTTTATTTAATAATTCGTTAACTATTAACTTTATTAAAGGTATTTTATACCAAAATTCAGAAGTATTGATGTTTTTCTTTAATTTTCTTTCGTTGCCTGGAGTAATTGAGATAAATCAGAATTATGTAGTTGATTTCTAAAATGCGATTATCTCGAAAACTGTTGAGTTTTGAGGATATTAAGAAGTATACCTTTTTTTTGTTAAAATAATGTATCTTTAATATTTTTTAATAAAAATACCCATAACTTGAGAAGCAAAAAAGTTAAGTGCAAATATATGCCACGTATGTGGCATATGTGGCGCCCTCTATCAGATACATCAAAGTACACACCAAATTAAAATTTCTGATATTTAATACTACCCAGTTGTAAATTTTTATACATAAAAGTTGACAAACATGAAAGTTATACCAAAAAATAAAATTTTAAATTTCCACTTTAACACCCTGTATCTTTCTTAATATTAACATTTTATTAAAGCAACTTGACTTAAATCGAAATATTTTAAAGTGTAAAATCTACGGTTTCTTTTTGTACAATTACTTAAGGACCACCCTGTATTGATAAACAAATTAGGATTAGCACATAAATTCTGTAATAAACTTATTATACGTAATTATACGTACTCAAATTTGCAAAATTTTACTTAAAATATGAAAACAAAAAACATTTTTAAAATCAACAAAAGCGTAATTCTCAAAATACATCATATGAGTAAATACTTCAAATTAGTGAGACACTTGTGCCTGGTGTCGTTTGCAAATTTGCTCAATATCAGGCCTGATGTGGGAAAGAGCTACTCTCATTTCTTGTTCTAAGTTTAGCAGCCTTTCCCGTTTCTTATTTTTAATGTTTGTTAAAGATGAGAACCCAAATTCACATAAATAGGACGTTGAAAAATGTATTAAAATACTAATCGCTTTTTTGGCAAGAAGTGGATATTCCTCTTGGACCAAGATCCAAAATTCCTGAACATTCACTTCTGAAAACTTAATTTTCAGAGTACGATCAGATACAACGAAATAAATTCTTCTTCTTGGTTCAGAGAAAACTAGAAATTGGCTGTATTACTTGTGCTAAAAGGACTTCTTATCCAGTCACATTTTTCTACGTTCAGAGATGGAAAATACCTGGCAATTGTCTCCTTTAATAGTGATAAGTGTTCTGTAACTATATACGTGATTTCTTGTTCTTTATCTTCATCACCTTCATTCTGAAGCAGTGGAAACATATCCATTTTATTTGTCTCTAAAATGCGCTTCTTCCAAAATGACAATTTTTGCTGGAAAGCTGACAGCTTGTCCGTGGATGTTAAAATATTTTCATTTTTGCCTTGCGTACTTGAGTTAACGCCATTTAAATAATTAAAAATATCAGCCAAATATGCCACTTTAGTGCACCATGCATCATTTTCAAAATATGTGGTAAATGTGTCATTACCTTCTTCTTGGAAAAAAGTTAACAGCTCCGTTCTAAGTTCATAAATTCGACATAATACTTTGCCCTTGACAACCATCTAACTTCGGTGTGCAGCAACAAACATTCATACTTTGATTCCATTGAGATGCAGAGCTGTTTAAAAAGACGGGTTTTTAGTGGTCTTGATTTGATGTAATTTACGACATTAACCACTTGGTCTAATACAGATTTCAAAGTAGCTGGTAGCGTTTTTGAAATTAGAGATTCTCTATGCAAGAAACAGTGCGTAGATATATTTTTATTTCGCTTTTTTGGAAGGGGTTTTGGAAGATAAAATCTTTTATGGAGCCTACCATGGAAGGGGCACCATCTGTACAAATTCCTACAACATCCTGTCCTGTTGTACGTGCTGTAAGTTCTCTGCAGCATAAAAACTGATTGACTATTTCACCTTCGTCGACAAATCGAATAAATCCTAATAAATGAGCTTTGCCACTAATATCAGTGGATTCGTCCACCTGCAATGCGAAGTTTTTTTTGTAAAGTTTATTTGTAACTTTTTCCTCAATATCTGCAGATAAATCAACAACCCTCCTTCTTATTGTATCATCCGACATAGGAATTTTCCGTATTTCGTTTTGTGCATCGTTGCCAAACATAATTTTGACCATCTCACAACATGCTGGTAATATAAGAGATTCTGCACAGTGTGTGGTTTCTGTTTCAAAACAATTAATTCGGCGACCTTATATGAAGCTATTTGTGCTTTGTCGGAAATTGTTAGCGACCTTTCAAATTGTTTCGCTTGTTTAGCTTGTGTCTCCAAAAGTCGCTTGAAATAATCTTTATTTTTTGAAGCTATACTAGCGTGTTTGGTAGTAAAATGGCGTTTTAATTTAGCCGCAGCCATTGCGCTATTAGCGAGTGTCTGCCCACAAACAATACACTTGGGAATTGGACAGTCTTCTTCCCCAGTCCAAATGAATCCATAATCCAAATATTCATCCAAATATTGCCGGCTCAACATTTTTTGCTGCGCTTCGATTTGTCATCAACCCCACTTCGTAAAGTTCCAGTATCTCCGCTGGTGCTCGCTTCATCATCATTAATTATGAGTTGTTCCACAGTAGTTTTTCTTTTAAGTTTGAGGAACTTATTCATTTTAATTTATTCGTCTCTAAACAAAATAATGCGGATGAATGCTTCACATTTTGTATAAAATATGCAATTACTTACCTATGATAGATAAGCCGTACGTAAACGTTATCATAAAAAAACTGACAGAGCGATTTTCACTGCGGAGCTCAGCGCTCAGTGCTTATAAAATCCAACGTGTGCACTGTGCCGACGCGGTGTTGTCACGTTGGCAAATGAACATTTACGCTGCAGAATTTTATTAAATTAAAATGTACGTAAGTGGCTATTTTAAAATTTGAAAATATTTATTTGAAAAGAGTAATTTAGCAAAATGGTATGTAGGATTGCGAGTATTTCGCGGAACACTTGGAAGGAATTCGCGGAACACTAGTGTTCCGCGGAACACCGGTTGAGAACCACTGCTCTAGATGATGAAAGGAGTCTTTCAAAGTAGGAAGTATGTTTAAGCAATTGTGTGTTACCCTTTACTCGTTTATCGAACGAGTGAAGAACCAGTCAAGAAGTCAAGGAGCTCGGAACCAGGCCTACTAATTATTATTAATTAAGAATTCAATTTAATTCTTTTCAATTACCAAGTGTTGCTTTTGGGTTTAAATTGAAATACATATATGAAGAGTCTATTTTCAATAACTTCTCGTACAAGGATTCTTTGTTTGAATATTTCATTGTTAACAAACTAATTTATTTTGGTAAAACTAAACAATTGTTGTAACTTGAAAAATAAATAAATTACCTATAATAGGGTGTTTCAGTAACAGTCCTTGAATCCCTTCGTTTCTTTTTAGCAGCCACAATCTTGGGTGGTGGGGGTGTGATTGCAGTTGTAGAATCTCGCCTGCCACTTTTCCCGCTTTCTCCCGACCCTCGTCTAGAAGCATGATGAGAATGACTAGTGGAATCCCGTCGACCGCTGCGGTTGGATTCGCCGCTATCTCTTCTCGAAGGTGCTACGTAGCTAATACTACTTGGGCTTACGATGGTGGTAGTGGGAGTACTTTCTTTAGGCTGCCATAGTTTAGCTACTTCAGTTCTGAAGTCGGATATAGCTGTGTAATGAGAGTCCCTTCGAGACTTCGAGCCCATGCTTCGTATACCGGAGTCAGCACTAGACTCTCTTCGTTTTCTATAATTAACAAATTTGTTATAATAGTTGATAAGAAAAAACCAAAATCTAGACAAATAACAGACGTGAAATCATGATTTTACTAGTTTTATATTATAACAATTATTATTAAAAAATTCTAATATACGAAAAAACGAGATATTTCCACCCTAAGGAGTAGAAGCGTGGACTCTAATCAAATCTATGCTTAAACGCTTGGAAGCCTTTGAGATGTGGCTTCTCTCTCTCTCTCTTGTCGTTTCCTCATTGCTGAGGATCGTGATTCCCTACAATGCGGGCTGTCAATTCTCTCCATCTCTTGCGATTTTGGGCTGCTCTCATGGACTCGGAAAACGTCTCTCCAGTGGCTTTCTGTACTTGATCTGATCATCGGATAGTTGAGCGTCCTCGGCCTCTACGTCCTTCTACGTTTCCGCACACAATTAGTCTTTCTAAGTTGTCATTGTCTCTTCTCGCAATGTGGCCAAAAAACTTTAAAACATTTGCAAGACACTGAGAGGAGAGTCTGGTCTGAATGTTTAGCTCTTCGAGAATCGACTGATTGGATCTGTGCTCCGTCCACGAGACGCGTAGCATTCGTCTCCAGCACCACATTTCGAATGCGTCAATCCTTTTCCTATCCTCTGATTTTATTGTCCATGTTTCGGACACCGTAACTAAAGATTGAAAAAACGAGTGTCCGTACCAGTCTCATTTTGAGTTTTTTGGAGAAAGAGCGGTCCTTCCATATTTTTGACAGTCGACTCATCGCGTTCTTGGCCATTCCTATTCTTTTGCGAATTTCCGTATGGCAGGAGGCTGCATTGCTTAAGGAAGATCCTAGATACGTGAACTCGTCTACTTTCTCGAATTGATTTAGGGCGCTTGTTGTTTGGAGGATATTCGCGTGGTCCACAATCATGATTTTTGTTTTCTGATTATTAATCTTGAGCCCACACTTGTTGCTTTCGGTTTCTACTTTCTTTATCAGTCTCGACATCTGATCTTCAGATGTTGCTATCAGTGTTGTATCGTCTGCGAATCTTAAGTTTGAGATCTTTTTCCCTGCAATGGAGATGCCGCCTCTCCATCCATCGAGTGCGTTCCTCATTATGTATTCTCCATATAAATTGAACAGGTCTGGAGATAGTATGCAGCCTTGTCGTACACCTCTGCTGGTTTTGAAGGTATAGATTGCTGGTTTTCAATTCTTATTTTAACTGAGTTATCTTCGTATAAGTTTTTAATTAATATTGCCAAATGATCTGGAACTCCCATCTCATGAAGAACTGTCCAGAGAACTTCCCACTTTACACAATCAAATGCCTTTTGGTAGTCTAGAAAACAGATTATTATTGGAATTTTAAATTCGCGGGCCTTTTCTATGAGCTGCCGCATATTAAGGATTTGCTCTCTCGTACCCTTCCCTTTGACAAAGCCTGCTTGTTCTTGGGGAATTTGGTTGTCTAAGTACTGTTGCAAACGGCGTTTAATGATTCTTAGTAATATTTTGCTTGGATGGGAAATCAGTGAGATGGTACGATAATTACTACACTTTGTAGTTGTTCCTTTTTTATGGATTGGTATGCACAATGATGTGCGCCATTCTCTGGGCCACTTTCCGCATCTCCAAATTTTAGTACAAAGTTTCCACATTATGTAACATCCTTTGTCTCCATGTTCTGAAGGAGCTCTCCCGTGATATCATCGCAGCCAGGGGATTTATTCTTCTTGAGGTGAGTTACAGCTTCTTCAATCTCGGACAGCAGAATTTCAGGTTCAGGGTTGTATTCAGTGTTTTCGAGGGCTGAAGTGTGGCCTAGATTTACGTGTTCTTCCCTGTAGAGCTCTGAACAATAGTTTTTCCATGTTTCCAACACTCTGTCGATATCACTTATGATAATACCATGTTTGTCCTCTATTGCATAGTTCTTGGGTTTAAATTCTCTTGCAAGAATTTTCACTTTCCGGAAGAGGTCTTTGGTTTCATTTCGATATCCGTGATTTTCTATTTCTTGGCAGATTTCAGAGATGTATTCTTGTTTGTCTTTTCGGCATCTTCGTTGAATATCTCTGGAGAGAGCTTTATATGTCTGTTGATCACAGGGGCCAACTTTAAGTTGCTTTCTTTGTTCAATCACTTTCCACGTGTTTCTGCTGATCCATGGTTTAATGCTATTATTTATAGATGGTTGGCGACATTGGTTCACTGTTGTTACAATGGTTTCTTTAATATCTGTCCAGGCTTCATCCACGCTTTGTTCTGACTGATTGTTCCCTATTCTGGTTAGTGCTGGTTCAATTCTCTCTTTAAAGGTAGCTAATTCGGGGTCCGTTACCCCAAAAGAACGGGGAGAAGCTTTGCGTATGTTCTTGAAACGCATTCTGTAATCTGCCATCAAGAGCTGGTGATCGCTTCCGCATTCTACTCCTGGAAATGTTTTTGCGTTGGTAATTGAAGACTTCCATCTCGAACTGATCAGAATAAAGTCTATTTGATTTCTTGTTCTATCTCCAGGTGATTTCCAGGTATAGAGTCTACGCGGATGATGTTTGAAATGCGTGTTCATTACAGAAAATTTCCTTTGGTTGCAGAATTCTAGTAGTCGGTCTCCTCGCTCATTCCTGTCTCCTAGACCATATGGCCCTACAATCATCTTCATGTGGTCATCTAGATTCGTTCTTCCAAGTTTGGCATTAAAGTCGCCTAGTATCACCACTATGTCTTTGTTTGGTATTTTATCAAGTACACCTCCGAGAGCCATATAATGTGGCTTCTAACGACAACTAAGAATAAGCTGGGTCGAATACAAATTATTCCAATTAGTATATTTGTTGCCTAAGCTTGGCACTGGTCCTTTTTGTATTAGGTTAGTGCTGATTTTTGAATTTTGAATTTGCTTTTAATTCCAAAGTCAATGCATTTTACATTGGTTGTCCTTTATCTATATGAACATAGCTCAGTGGAATGGTCTACTGTGCATTTTACGCATCTCAATCTATGGTAGCAGTATTTCTTTGTGTGCCCATGACGTTGGCATTTAGTACACTCTACTATTCTCCTTTATACTTTTGGTGCTCGATCTTTTATTGAAAATTTATTGGGTAACTAACATCTTGACACTGAATATGCCCGAGCCAGCTCAACTTAAGCTCTCTTATTTTGGCATCAATTAATGCCACCCCTAGATTATCTTTAAGATACTTATTCTTAATTTTATTCCTTTTGTCACTTCACTCATCCATCTAAGCGTTTTCGTTTCCACTATATGTATTCGATGTTTCTCTTTATTTTTAACTACCCAATATTAAGTTTAGTACATCATAATTGGTCTTATATTAGTTTTATAGAATTTTTCCTTTAGTTCTATTAGAATTTTTTAGTCATACAACGTACTAATTTACGTAGCAACGTAATAGCTTCCTTCTACGTCATTCATCTAACACTAATTCTACTCCATACATCATTGTACCATTACTCTGTAATACCATAATTGAACTAAGGTTCTGAAACGACTTTCCTGTGCTATGCCTGATTTAAATAGTATTTTTATATATAATAAGCGCCAATTATTGTTTGTAATGAAAATCACATTTTTAACGAACCAGTGTTTGACGTTTCGATTTCCACTCCGAAAATCGTTTTTAGAAAGATTATTAGAAATATTATTCAAAAATGTAAAACCGAAGTTATTTGTTTTAGGTTATGTCATTTCAAAATTCACATGGTTTGCTCCATCTTTTCGCCCACAAGAATATACATAAATACACCTGGTATCAGCACACAAGAGGTCTAAAATCGATAATAGATTACTTCATAACAAGACAACAAACTTAGTTAAGATTACAGGACTTAAAGGTGAATAGAGAAGCAGAGTGCGGCTCGAACCACTGCCTGATAATAGGAAAAATATATACACCATTCGTACACAGGAACCACACAGACATCAACAAAGAACATAGAGAAACAATAGAAAGAACTACGTAGGTACACCTTAGACAATCTAAATAACGAGAGCACACAGTTACTTTACTCCTGGAGACTAACACAAAAAACTACAGGAATCACACAGATCAACGACGGATGAATACGAACATATAAAAAACTGCATAAAAGACGTGGCACTAGAAGCATTAGGGCCACAGGTACGGAGAGTAGATAAACCATATTGGTGGGATAAAGAAGTGGAAGAAAACATAAAAATAAAGATAGAAGTATATATATATATATATATATATATATATATATATATTATATATATATATATATATATATATATATATATATATATATAACAAGCGAGTCTTCTACAGCTGGCGCCGCTTCTCGCATAATAATTTCCTGCGTTTTCTGTCGAAGCAATCTTCAGTTGTTAGATCTCTGGAGGTCATTGCATCGTCGACATCGTCTCTTCAGGATCGTCTTGGTCTACCTCGTTTTCTTCTAGTTGGCGGAGTCCATTCTTCTATTTTTTATGGCCATCTATTTTCCGGCATTCTCTGAAGGTGTCCATACCAGTTAAGTCTTTTGGCTTCGATTGTGTCTATTATGTCTAGATCGATTTCCATTTCTCTCCGAATATCTTCGTTTCTCACCCTATCAAGTCTAGTGAGCTGGCAACATCATCTCCAGTAGTTCATATCCATGGCCTTAATTTTTGATTTGTTTCTTTGGTTTATTTCCAGAGTTCGGCGCCATACAGTCCAATACTTTCTATTATTGTTTTATAAATTCTTCTTTTATTTTCTTTTGTTATTTTTTTATTCCATAATAGTCCGTGTAGCTGTCTGGTGGCTGATCTTGCTTGGCCAATCCTGGAATGTATTTTTTGCTACTTCCTGCTTTTGATGTTATTTGGACTCCCAAGTACTTAAAATTGTCTGTTGGTTTTATAGTTCCCACTTCAATTTGTAGGCTTTCTGGTTTTTCTCCTACAACTAAGTACTCAGTTTTTTGTATATTAATTGTGAGGCCCCATTTGGTGTACTCATCTTCCAGTTTTCTAAGCATGTAGCTTATA